GAAGAGTCAGAACCTAGTCTGCTTTCAGGGCATGCTCCTCACTGCACCTGCCATGGCCAGGAGTGCCTGTGTGGCTCTGTCCTCAGGACTGCACACAGGCCCAGATCAGAATCAGTAATCATGACCTTTTTATGATTATTATTTTGGGGGAGGTGTTTTGAGACAGGGTCTCACTATGTAGTTGAGACTGACTTGGAACTCACTATGTAGCCCAGGCTGGTCTCGAACTCTCAGTGATCCTCCTGCCTCAGCCTCCTGAGTGCTGGGATTACAGGTGTGTGCCACCACACCTGGCTCTTATTATTTTTTTGAGACAAGGTCTTGTTCTGTAGTCCAGATTGGCCTTGAACTTGTGATCTTTCTACCTCAGCCTCTCAAGTGCTGGGACTACAGGAGTGCACCACCATGGCATTATGTTTAATACCAGCACGAGTTCGAGGGCATCCTGGCTACATAGTAAGACTGTCTCAAAAAGCAAAAAACAGAACACAACACAACAAAACAAAAAAACCCAGAAAGCAAAACCTTCCCTGGAAGTGAAGAGAAACTGCAAACAATACAATGCCTGCATATCCCTCAGCTGTTAGAGCCACAGCGTCTGTCCTGATAAATCATACGGCCTTGGGCACTGATGAAAAGACAAAGGTAACAGAGATCATGACCTCAGTGATATGAAAATGCTTTGGTTTTGCTGCAAAGGGTTTTGGGGACCATGGAAGCCACACTGACCATGGTGATTCTAATCTGATTCCCTCTCGTAGGGTATCTAGTGTGACAGACCTGGGTTGTGCAGTAGGAGAAGCAGGACAACCTGGCTCCTACGATGTCACTGAGCAGAAGAATAAGCAGCCCTGCACCCTGTCTGTGCTGCAGGCACCTACTCGGCGCCTGCTTCTTACTATGAGACAAAGACATCTGAACAAGACTGTGACATCCGCAGAGAATGTGAGTCCTCTCCAGGTGAGGGGCTTGAAGTACCCAGGGAGGAGCTGAGGATGTCTCCTTTCTGTGGTACTGGAGGTGGGACCCAGAGCCTTATACATGCCACATGAACACCCTATCTCTGACCCACACCCCCAAAGATGAATTTGTCTATTTGAGACCAGCTCTCACTATATAGTTCAGGCTAAACTCACCAAGTAGCCCTGGATGGCCTCAAATTCAGTGATCCTCCTGGGATTACAAGCATATGCTACCACACCTGGTGCTAGCCTTCTTTGTCTTTTTTCCCCATGAAGTTTATTGGTACATTTTAGGTGTACAGTACAGTTAATTCATCATTGGGATCTTGTACTGTTACATGATGTATCTTGGTTATTTTTTCCCTATCCCCCTACCCTTTCTTCACCCCAACCTTCTTTATTTTTGAGCCAGGGTTCTGCCAAGTTGCCCCAACTCAGCAACAAAGTTGATATCTGGGGGAGAGTCCCCAAAACCCCACAGCTGATATGGCTACAAGGATACTTGGTGCAGAGTTCTAAATGTGAGGTGGCCTTGGTCTTTGGGACCTTGGGAACAAGGCCCTGTGGATGGGAGGCTGATGCATCCCGGTGAGACGGAAACTGGGGGAGAGAACATGTGACAACTGACTGAAGTGAGTTTGGGCCTCTGATTCTGATGCCTGGAGTGCTGGATCCAGGCCTGGCTGACAGATTCTATAGTACCACAGAAGAGGGATGTGGGGGGAGCCAGGACATGGGCTGCTTTTCTTGGGGTGCTGGCTATCAAACTCATTGAGTTGTACCACCGGCTCTCCGGCTGCCTATGCCACCTGTGCAGAGTGGACAGCAGTGACCTGTCAGCCTGCTAGGAAGGGGGAGGCGCCTCCCCCTACAGCACCAGTGGGACTGGAACAAGGGGGTGCAGAGAAGCCCAAGTGCCTTTGTCCAGGGGCAGAACAAAGTTGTGCCTTCTTTCCTGGCAGGGTAGGGGCTGGTCCCTCACTACCTACGCCCACGCCCGTGTGCACCAGCCTTGTTCTCTGGAGCCTGGCTGGGCTTCTGCTTAGTGGACAGTCAGCCTGTCACTCCAGGGACAGAGGCATTGGAATTCACTTGCCTCTGGCCAGGCCTGGTTGTGTTCATGGCTAATGTCACAGCTTTGAGGTCAGTACTTGATAAAGAGCTGATTCTAAATCTGTGTTTATAGGGCAAATTCAAAAGCTATGCAGGTGTGCTGGAGCATTGGAACAAACAAGAGCAGGGATGGCGGTGTCCAGGACACGCCTTGTAAGAGACAGAAGTTTGAAGGTGGTCAGTCTAGGTGCAGGCCTCTGAGAACCTGGTCCAGTCCGAACTGGTATCTGCAGGGCAGGGCCAGAAACTGCACTGGAGAAAACCTGTGCCCAGCAGTGCTGGGGACCACACTGCAGGGATGTCAACTGAGACTGTATGTGGGCTAATGTATTCCCTTTGCTCTCACTGTCCTTTTCTGAGGCGGAGTCTCACTGTGTCACCAAGGCAGGCCTCAAATGATCTTTGTGCCTCAGCCTCCAGAGCATGTGGTACTGCAGGTAAAAGTTTCAGTAATAAGCTGGGCCAATTCCAGTACTTGGGAAGCTGAGGTAGGAGGAACAAAATGAATTTGAGACCAGCCTGGGCTACCTAGCAAGACCCTGTCTCAAATCCTTGCCCCCAAGATTTCTCAATAGCCACAGTAAAAAGAACTGTGGAAAATTAATTTCTATTCAATGTAGTATACTTAAAATACTGGCTTTTTATGCTTTTTTTCTTTCCATTAAGTTTATTGGTACATTTTAGGTAAACAATAGTTATATTCATGATTGGGATCCTGTACCTTTACACGATGCATCTTGTCATTTTAACACATAACATGTTCAAAAATTTGCTTGAGAGACACTTTAGGTTTTCTTCTTTGCACCAAGTCTTTAAAATCCAGTGTGTACACTCCTCTGACAGCACATGTCAATTTGAGATTCCCACATTCCAAGTGTCCAATAGCGACAGTGGCCATGAGTCGCTCAGTGGACAGCACAGACCTCAAATGTTTACACCTCACCCAGTTAACTCTTATCTTGCTGGAAGTAACTCCAGTATTAATCCTTCAGGGAAACCTTCTGCAAGCCAACCCCAAACTAGGCCTCATTTTTGTTGCTCTGTGTGTGTGTGTGTGTGTGTGTGTGTGTGTGTGTGCGTAT